TTGTCAATCTTCTCCATCCTTAACCATCCTTGTTCCTTTATGATTTAAGCGGTAGAGCACTTTTTCCGTGTTAACATAGCCTTTATCTAAACACGAAGAGGGTGTGGAGAATTCGAGACAGTTATACAAACGTTTGCTTAACTTTCGAGATTCTATAAGACCCCCGAGTGTTTAGATGAGGCTATGTAAACACGGAAAAAGTACTCTACTACTTTTATAAACTAATTCTCAAGAATACGCGCGAATCTGAAACGGCACAACCCTGTTTACATACTCTCATCTAAGCACACCTATCGACCAATGAGAGCGCGCATAATAGCTCAGTTATTGTATAATTGTTGTTATCTCCTTGGTGTTTTTCTATCTTAGTGAGCTACTATTTTCAGGTAATTTTGTGCGTGGCCAAAATAACTCAAAATACCGTGACTGAGCTCTTTTAATTTTAGTGAAACCTTTTCTCTTTTTGAAGGTTAAGGATTAAATTAGAGGAAAGTACCTGGAACCTTGAAATGTCCGCAGGATGAATTTTGTTAAGTGCTTAGACAGAGTCGCGCATTAAAATGAATTAAACCGAATATTACGAGCTTTCGAATGGCAAAGTTATCAAGAGAAGTAACACTGTAAATAGTAAGTAGATTCGCGGTGTGGAGAATATTATTTGTTGAGGCTCAAAGCTCCAATAAAATGCCGCTATCTTTGTTAAGGCATTAGAAAACCCGAAACGGGTAACCTATTTTCTACAATTTTTGACGCAAAAATTAAAGCCAACAACAACAAAAAACACCGCCCTGCATTGTAAATAGTGCATGAAGCAAAGCACATTCAGAAGTTTGTAGCCCCTTCTGGTTGGCCAAATAAGATTTTGACTTGTAATAAAGTTATTTGTATAAGAGTTGTACTGAAGCAAGTAACGCATAGTTCCTCATCGACTTCTCTTCACCCACCGCTTGCTAGTTCCAGTTGAAGCCTTCCTGAAGTTAGCCACCGATCTCCATTTCTTCCTCTGGACTGCAAGCTGTATATCCCAAGCGTACCTGACTTAATGGTGAAGAAACGGTTCTTTCCATTGTGTTAGCCTGCTTTGCAGGCGCATATTTGCGCGCGAGTGCACATTTTCGTATTAGGCCGCTGTCTTGTATTTGGTAACTGTGGAGGGTTGGGGCAAGGGGAAATTTGCCCAGGGAGTAGACGGCATCGAAAGCCTGGTCTATCGAGCGTTCCGTTCCAAAAAAAAAAAATCGCCTGCACTACAGGCTACATTGTGTCAGAGATTACCTCTTAAAAAGCTGAATTTGTTCAGTTCTTTCTCAGGCGTTACTTTTTTTTGTTTTGTTTTGATCTTTTGCCTCCAGAACACTACATGGTGTTTAAAGAAATACAGCCAATTAGAACACAGAAAGCCATTGTATACTTCACGGAATTACGCCCAACCTTCCCATCGTGCGCAGCGATCTTTTTCGTTTGATACTGTATTTAATATGGCATGGTGTAAAATAGTTTTACAACGTTTTCTTGTGATATACCATGGAATATCCCTCGTCACTTGTATTTTCTTGGTATACACGCGAGAATTTTATACCTTGCGACCCGTGAGATATTCCGTTGCATTACTAGTATGTATTTGTATATATTTGTGTTATTCTCTTGATATATTTTAGCAAAAAGTGTGAGAATATTACAATGGCTACCCTTACATACGTATGTTTCGCCCCTGCCAAGGGACTTTCAGAGGCCTTTCAGCTAACTCGTCAAACATCGCTGGCATTGTTAGAAACCTGCGGGCAGGCTTAAGGGTTCATACGCAGTTCCTATTGCAGGGCATATAATCTGACAGGTTTTGTGTAGCTTACACGAAGTGTAATCCACACTTTGTCTTCATCCGAGATATTTCTTTATTTATTTGTCTACGGGAGCTAAGCGCTTGTCACGTGTTCTGCTGAAACCAGGTTCCGGTTAGTGGTCGGATGAAGTCGGCCATATTGGTCGTGGCGTAGAAAGTTTCACTTTTTTCCCCTGCTTTCAGTTTTCAAGGTCGGTCGTGATAATTCAGTTTATCCTAATTACAACTAAAACTTGTAACCCATACATGTACGCACTGCGGACCTGTTTTTAAGAAGTACTTTCCTAGAACCTGCTTTTTATTTTGCCACAAGAGTACTTTTTATTATGTGTTCGAACGTGCCCCCTGGAGTTGGTAATTGCTTGCATATTACCAATCTCGTAAACAGGGTAGTCGTTTGTAAGTAATAATGAAACTGCCCGGAGGGGGGGGGGACTCCCATATAAAAGCCACGCCCACAAAACAGGATGTTGGTGTTCTTTCCAAAATTTCCGAAGAGCACCCCCGTCTTTTTTATATGGAAGTACCCCCCCCCCCGGTTGAAACTAATGCTAATGTTTGACTCGAAACTGTGAAAGGCTTACAGTGATATTTAGCGCAGAAAGTAGTGACTTCACAAATTTCCCAACCCATAAACAGCCTTGCATCTCTCCATCACTGTTACACCACGGTACCTCCCTGGAATGACGTTTACTTTTCTTTCACCTGCGTTTTCGGAAAGCGCCGAGTGCATTTGAGCTTTGCAATGGCGCAGTTGATTAACTGCAGCTCAAAAATGCAGACAGATATAAATGATCCCCGAGAAATTTGATTTGATTTATTTATAGAAAGTTACAGAATTACCGATACCAGAAAAAAAGTACTTTAGCTTGGCGTATACACTTTCTTACGAATATTTCATCAGACGTACAAAATGTCCTCTCGAAAACAGCAAAATCGTGTCCGTATAAAATTCTTATTTCTCCGATTGAACTCAAATGTTAGTGTTTTTAAAAACATTTGCGGTGAACAACTGAGGGTCCTTCTTCGTCGTATTCTTGTTTGGAAATCAACATCTGTGGGAAGGTGGACAGCAAGGCTAAGATAGATCCTCCGATCTATACAGAGTATTTACGCTCAGGAGGAGCAATGATCTCGATCTTCATTGTGGGTGGAGCCAGGCCAGTGATTTCTTTCTGCATTCTGTCAGCGATTCCTGGGAACATACTGGAGCCCCCAGACAATACTATGTTGGCGTATAAGTCCTTACGGATGTCCTCGTCACACTTCATGATGGAATTGTAGGTGGACTCGTGGATGCCTGCAGCTTCGATTCCAAGGAAAGAGGGCTGAAACAGGGCCTCAGGATCCCTGAAGCGCTCGTTGTTAATAGTAACGACGGCANTGGAGCCAGGCCAGTGATTTCTTTCTGCATTCTGTCAGCGATTCCTGGGAACATACTGGAGCCCCCAGACGATACTATGTTGGCGTATAAGTCCTTACGGATGTCCTCGTCGCACTTCATGATGGAATTGTAGGTGGACTCGTGGATGCCTGCAGCTTCGATTCCAAGGAAAGAGGGCTGAAACAGGGCCTCAGGATCCCTGAAGCGCTCGTTGTTAATAGTAACGACGGCACCGTCGGGAAGTTCGTAGATCTTTTCTATGGTGGAGCTTGAGCCAGCAGTCGTCATTTCTTTCTCGAAGTCGAGAGCAACATAGTAAAGTTTTTCTTTGATGTGACACACGATCTCACGCTCGGCTGTGGTGGTGAAGGAGTAGCCACGCTCGGTCAGAATCTTCATGAGGTAGTGTGTCAAGTCCCTGCCGGCCAAGTAAGGACAAACGACGGCATCGGGAAGAGCGTAGCCATCGTGGACGGGAACTGAGAAACTGACCCCATCACCGATGTCTACAACATTTCCTGTTATACGACCAGAGGCGTAAAGAGACAAAGCAGCCTGGACGGCAAGGAACNTTCTTTGATGTCACGCACGATCTCACGCTCGGCTGTGGTGGTGAAGGAGTAGCCACGCTCGGTCAGAATCCTCATGAGGTAGTCTGTCAAGTCCCTGCCGGCCAAGTAAGGACAAACGACGGCATCAGGAAGAGCGTAGCCATCGTGGACGGGAACTGAGAAACTGACCCCATCACCGATGTCTACAACATTTCCTGTTATACGACCAGAGGCGTAAAGAGACAAAGCAGCCTGGACGGCAAGGAACACCGCTGGCGAACGGAAGGTCTCAAACATAACCTGCCCGATTAAAAAAAAGAACAAATTCACCTCGACTCCTTCTCGGTCCATAAACACGCAAAAGACTGACTTGGCCAATATCCAGCCATCTTGACCGAACAAGCTTGGTCAATGCACAGATTTACATAATTCAAAATTGCACTTAGACTTGGGTACAATAGTATTCAAAAAGTCTTGTCGTTTTAGGACTTGGTACATTACAAAGTTGAACGTTGTGTTCAAATCAACAGCAAGAGTGATTCATCACTTGAGAGAAGTGTGTGTACCTGGGTCATCCTTTCTTTGTTAGCTTTTGGGTTTAGCGGAGCTTATGTTAGCAGAACTGGGTGTTCCTCGGGAGCTACACACAGCTCGTTATAGAAGGCGTGACGCCAGACCTGAAATGAAGGAAATTCACAGTAGAGTAATGTCCGAATATTCGATAATTAAAGCAGCAAATTTTGGTTACCTTCTCCATGTCATCCCAGTTGGTGATGATGCCATATTCCATGGGATATTTCAGAGTCAGAATGCCTCGCTTGTTCTGAGCTTCCTCGCCGACGTACGCGTCTTTCTGACCCATACCAACCATCACGCCCTGATGTCTTGGGCGACCAACGATGGAGGGAAACCCTACTCGAGGAGCATCATCTCCGGCAAAACCGGCCTTGCACGTACCGGAGCCATTATCCACAACTAAGGTAGCACATAAAAACATCTATTATTCAAGTCTATGCACCGACCAATGACGCTGACACCAATGAAAAAGGCGGGTTCCACGAACTACTGCAACAGGTGTATGACAGGACACCTCGACATGACATCATAATAACTATGGGCGACTAGAATGCAAAGTTAGGGCACCAAATGGAGGGCGAAAACGGAGTGGTTGGTAAGCATGGTTTAGGAAGCGACAGATCTGATAATGGTGAGAGGTTCGTAGAGTTCTGTGCGGNATCTCTGGCCCTATCCCCCACTCGGGGGCAAGGAATTAAGCAAGGTAGCGGCCATTTTACTGATATATATTATAGAGCGCGAATTCAGCAACAAAGTCAAGAGTCACCTGTGTAGATCCAAGTGTGTGAGGTTTTTGGCGGTTTGAAGACCATTATTTTTCCACCAACGCCGTTTCTAATTGGCTGCTTTTGATCATGTGACATAATGACTAAACCATGGTCTACCTTATGATCATTCACTCGTCTGAGTTGTTTTGTTGTGCGTTCATTTTTGATTTGTGTTTAGCTTGTTGATTGTACAACGGATTACTTCGATGGCAGTTTCATCTTAACTTTCTAATCCCTTGTGAGACGAGTCCACAAAGAAATAACAAAGAGACAGAGAAACCTGAAAAGTCAAAGATTTGCTTCATTTTGGATGCGTAGTTGAAAAAAAAATTAAAGTCTACCCGTAGAATATCGAACTTTTTAGGCTGTTCCATACAAACTACACAGGATTCTTAAGAATGGCTGACTGTTAGGATCGAGAAACGCCGGTCAACGTCCAATTTGACAAATCGCTCATATTTTGCCCAAAGATACCCTTAGGTGACCTAATTCTAAAAATCATATTTAAAGGTNGATTTGCTTCATTTTGGATGCGTAGTTGAAAAAAAAATTAAAGTCTACCCGTAGAATATCGAACTTTTTACGCTGTTCCATACAAACTACACAGGATTCTTAAGTTGTCAACCCGTATCTAATAATACTATCCCGGTGGTGCGTGATAATATAAGTAAACGAGCGTAAATGCAGTAATTGTACTTGTATATAGACTGAAAACAATAGTTTATTTGGGTCTGTTTACGACGCTTAGCCTAAGTTAAATTTCTCGAAATTTTGCGAGAGCGTATTAATCTGAAAACTTGCCTTCTAGAGCAGTTTTCAAATGAGTGCCATAAAACCAAAACCAAACCAATCACTTACCAAACTCAGCCAATCTCAAACCAAAACCAAAGTAATTAATTACCTGATTACTTTCGACACTCAATTAAAAACCGCTCTATTCCTCCCAGGAGGGGGAGGGGGGGACTCCCATATATAAGGGACAGGGTTCTCGTCGGAAATTTTGAAAACTGACTCCCAAGAGAAACCAAGACCCTGTTTTGTGGGCGTGGCTTGAAAGTTTTTCACCCCTAAGAGGTACCAATTCTAAAACAACACATTATCTCCTGTCATATATTTTTTGGCTCATTACCCCACGAAAAGGTACCTTAGAAGCTCCTTATGGACCTTTTGAGGCTGAACACACTTAGACGTGCCAAACCGCATTTTTAACCTCTAAATAGTACGACGAGCACCTTCGTCCTTTTTTGTGTGTGTGAAAGTACCCCCTGGGTCTATTTCTTTTGACGTCTGAACGCAAGCTACCTGAAAACTCGACGACAGGCGTTTTACAGCGATCTCTCCTAAATCTGATGTTTTTAAAATATTCCTTTTGAATCGATAACTTGCCCAAATGCTTCTTTTTCCCTTTTGTCAATATATTAATATTCTTTCGTACAATTCTAGTAGCCTCTTACTAACCGAACGCAAGGGCTGTACTGGGGAATATTGATCCGTTGTTGTGGCCGTTCGGATCGACCGAGCTCAGCGAGGTCTGTACAAGAAAAGACGAGGACTAATAAACCCCAGTACGACTCTAACAAGTTAGGTTAGTAAGAAGTTTATTATATATGTGGCACTTGTTTGAATTTACCGGATTTCGAAAATACAAAAAATACACGGCTTAAAACCGTTTCGCTCCGTATGGTAAAATCCCGACCAAGAGAGAGGCAATCAGAATGCTCAGATTTACCTGAAAACTACTTTGTCATGTAATAAAGCAGCATAATGATAACAACACGAGCAACGAACAGTCGATCTCATTTCTGCATAGTTTGAGGCCCAAAATAATGATACAGTGTAATGTCATTTTTTCATTAGACCGAAAAAATGGCCGTTGTAGAGATGTTTGCCGTTGTAGCGGAGGTGGCCTTTAGTGACGGTTCGACTGAAAGCATATAAATATATATGTAACACTTTTTGAAAGATATATCAATAAAACAGATACCAAACAGAAACAGAGACCAACGGCGCGCGATACGGATCAGGTTTGTGACATTTTACAATAACAAAATGGCCAGGGGCTTTTTATATACTGTTAAGCTACCGTTCTTCCGTCGCTGATTAACTGGCCGTGGTCGAGAAGTTATTTTCAAAGTTATAATCAAATGCAAAACCCCAAATTATTTTCTCCTTTACCCACCCCCTACCCCTTTGCGCTCATAAATCTCTCGCGTCTTTTGTTTTGCTYGCGCGCTCGACCRTGTTGCGAGAAAGAACACGAACAAACAAACAAATTGTGAACATGCTAAACAGATTATGAAAATGTAGTTTCTTGGTGTTGCCGATAGCGTGATCATCATATGACGTGAAACAAAAGATTGAAAATACAATAAGCAATTCTCAAACCACAGCAAAATAGCTAACTAACAATAGTTTCCACAACACCGAGAAGTAAGAGGTTTAGTAATTTGCTGTGGTCAGTAAGCACACTGATACATTTTAAACTACAAAGGTTAAAGCAATAATATTTCCCCCACAAAAGAAGTTATTTTCAGTGAATTTCATACGAATAACAATGGCTAAAGCCTTTCGTCAGTTGTCAGTAAATCTGACTACAAATGTCAGTTGTCAGTTGAATTTTCGGGTATTTCAGTGTCAGTTATTTTTTCCGCAATTTGTGAGTTGTCAGTTAATTCCATCTAGACCTTCAGGTCGCGTTGTCATTCTGTACGTAGACTTTGAGCTCCTTTGCAGATCGAAGATGGAACAAAACCAGAGCAGACGGCGTGTTCACCAGTTCCTTGAAATTCTTGCCACTGGGACGAGCGTATCCAGATCACTGACAAGAAAACTCTCTGACCGTTCAAAACTTATGAAGCAAAGAAACAACATTCGTCAGACTGGCAAAGTCTCTTGAGGCCAAAGAAGCTGTGATTGAGATTATTGAGTAAGAGATGCAGCTGGCTTGAATATCAACTGGTGTGAGGTGTCATTTTGGTATTTATCAAAAATGACAAAAATTGCCCCTAAAATTATTAAATCAGCTGGGCGGGAATTGAAAAAACATTCGATGAGTTTTTTTTAGACCTAGCCCTCAATGAGATTAATCCATATTCAACGTAATTTCCGGAGTTTCAAGTCTAAAAAAAATTTATCGCGTGTTTTTTTAATTCCCGCCCAATAAGTGAAATCTTTATTTGTTATTTTTACATTATCCCGTGGACCGGTCCGTAGGGTAGTCCGCGGACCGGGTCCGCAGTGGGGGTCAGTGTTTCCGGGTTACCCAATCAACTCGGAAATTGAAGCTTCAGTTTTAGAGCGGTAGGCACCAATAATATGAATGTTTGGATTTGGTTAGCTTAAAACCATTACAGCAATTTCTAAATAGTGTATATCAAATAATATATAGATTTAGCCAAGCCTAAAAGCGGAGCTTCTCGGTCGGGTTCTTCAAAGCCCGATTAAGCTATCCCAGGATAAGCGAGAATTTGACTTGAGTTTTGTAACTTAACGGTAAGATTTTCTGTTTATGTCGTTTGGCCCTCTGTTTTGAGTTTGAATAATCTCAAGGTCCTCAGATACACAAACCAAAAGCAGTTTAAAAAACATTTGTATACAAGATAAATTTATATTTCGGTTAACTTTTATAACCCTGGGTTAGCGATGACCGGCTTCCGAACAACCTGGCCCTGTTTTCAACAAGTTAGTCCGACATGAGTCCGCGATCCAATCGAAAAAAAAAAACAGCATTTGGTCAGCGGTCAACTTCAAAAATCACGTGACCTCAATGAGCTCTAAACTTGAGCCCGCAATATGATCACATGATACTGCGGATACCTTGTTTTGACAGTTGTCAATTGACCTTTAACATAGAGGGACGCCACAAACCGAGGGTGCATGTCTCTGTCAACCTATTAGCTAGAGTATGGCCGCCATCTTGCACGACTCCGTCGTCATCGTTCGTACGCGCCCACGAGCAATACCGCTAGCCATGATAACCATGAGAAAATTAATTCATGGGCTTCCTAATTCCTTTTCTTTCCTTATGGGTATAGGCCCCTTGCAGCTGGGGTCACGTGACCAAATTTTTCCGAGAAAATTTTCATATTATGGGCTATAACTTGAAGAATGCTAGAAATGGAAAGAGTTTCCATTTCTGGCATTTGTTAAGTCATAACCCATAATTTTATGAAAAGTAGGTCACGTGATGGCTTAGCTGCAAAGGGCCTATTGCCTGATTTCAAGCCGAAAAGGACTAGGTATGAGTCTGTAGATTATGGGATTAGCAACTATTGATCCACATAGTCAAAAAGAGCATATCGAGATTCACAAAATCCCCAAGTTTAGTAAACTGGATTTATTTGGACAGGCAACGTTAACTTAACTACTGTTACGAGTTTAACCTAATTGCTCTTCGGTCAATGTAAAACGCAGACAGCGAACTGCAGAGCGGGGATAAAATGCATTGTACCCCTGGTCTGCAGTCTGCATTTAACCCTCAGTCTGCAATTTGCAGTCTGCGTCTTACACTGATCGAACTGTTGGCTGGGGAATTTGACTACTTTTAAATAGTTTTCTTTTATCAGTACAGTCGAACCTCCTGTTAGAGACCAACCAAAATGTCAAGCTTAGGTGATCGCTTACAGAAGGTGGTGGCTTACAAGAGCTTAGACCATACTGGGTCAAAATTTTGCCACACTAGTGTATGGTGAGCAACCTGCAAGAAGTTGTCGGCTTGTCAATGCAAAAAGAAGCTCTTGTCTGTGCATTGCATTGCCAATGCCCATCTAAACCCATGCAATAACTTATAGTAGCCAAAAAGATCTTAAAGCTTTTCAAAGTATTTATCTAGAGTATCATGGTTCTTTTCTGATTAAGTACCTAATAAGGCAAACAGAACAAGTCTCATGATAGTTACAAACTGAATCTTAAATGTTACAAAACCTGTCAAGTTGTTGCTTATGGGAGGTTAAAAAGAAAAGAAAATTTCAAACTTTCATCTCTAAAAGTGGCTGTGGTCACTTTACAAGAGGTGATTGCATAGAAGATTACGACATCTTGAATGGTACAACACCTTGTTATTGAATTTCTGCTGTATTATCTGTCAAGTGGTTGCTTACGGGAGGTTAAAAACAAAAGAAAATTTCAAACTTTCAGCTCTAAAAGTGGTTGTGGTCCTTACGAGAGGTGGTTGCCTACAAGAGGTTCGAAATACAGTGATTTGACTTGGAAACCTCTGGTACTTGTATTTTGGAAAAACTAGTCGCTGAGGAGAGGTGGTTCCTTGCGAGAGGTGGTCGCAACCGGAGGTTCGACTGTATCTAGATCTATCTAATGCTCTTTATATATATCTGATTAGGCAATGTTGTTCTTTGGAACAAAATCAGTATTTGGTGGAAAAAAACAACAACAACAACAAAAAAAAAACTGGAGTCGTAGTTAGACAGGCAACTTAACTGCAGAAGGAGTTTAACCTTTCAGCCACTAAGTTGCCAGGCCAAGTGTTTGACTGTTTTTAGATAGTTTTTTTATCTGTTTTTAGATCTAGCTATGCTATTTACATAATATCTGATCCACCTGTAACCTTGTTCTTTGGAACAAAATCTGTAATGGTGAAAAAAAAAACCCAAAAAAACTGGAGTTGTATTTGGACAGGCAACTTAACTGCTGTTAGGAGTTTAACTTATCAGCAGCTAAGCTGTTGGCCCAAGTATCTGACCATTTTAAATCTAAAATACAGAGAAACAATGTTGGCACACGGCCTTTCAAGTTAGTGATCAAAACAAACAGAAAATTAACATAAATTTAAGTTGGAAACCAACTGAAAACTTGCTGCTTGACGTTAATGTATTGATGTACATCGTGGCAAACTGGTAAAATGTAAGGGAATAGCTGGTTAGCAAACATATTTGACAACTGGATGGCTTGGTTGTTTACCCACAATTTTCAAACCAATTTTCATTTCCCTTGGAGGTTTGAAAAATTAGGATTCTACTATAAAATCAAGTTTCCTGTTGTATTCCAAAAAGCAGATGTAACAATTTTTTTAAAGAGTGTACTTGGAAACTAGGGAATACCGTAAGAAAACACTGCTGACTACTATTTTGTTTTACTTAATAAGCAACTGCTTATACCTGCCATTTCATCCACAGACTCAAAATTAATATGCCATTAGTTACACTGTATGTCTTAAAGGGACACAGTTGGCTGGCACAGATGCGCATTAGATTCTGTTTCATAGCTAATTTGCACATCACAGAGATGCAATCCATACTTTTTTTTTAACCAAATATGATAAAAATGATATCATAGGATGAGCAAAAACGCACTCAAAAACAGGTTTTTCAGTAAACTATTGAAAATCAAGCAAACAGTGCAAAGATTGACGCAGATTTCTAGATGTACTTTGATTTCAGGTTGAGGTGGGCTTTTTTCAAAGTGAGAAAACTAGTGTCCAGGTCAGCGTGGTCCCACAGCTGACTGTGTCCCTTTAACACTGAGAGAGAAAGGGTTAAATTGGTGATATCAACAGTATGGTAAGCATTGTATCGTAAGCTTTACATTTGATATTTCCAGCTTCCGGCCGAGCAGCATTAGATCAGGATTTAGATTCCATTCTGGGTGGTAATGATGGTAAGCTTTCAAGTTTATTTTTCTAGTTTCTTTATTTCCACACAATAAATTGTGGATTAAACAAAGGTTTGAAAAATGTTGAGGTTTGTGAGCAAAAACCCACAGCACAGCACAACTTTGTCATCTAAAGCCAGGATTTTAAGACCAAGCACTCCAGATAATTATTAACTAGTACTTGGTTCAAATTTGATGTTTTATTTGTTATGTATTAAACTATTAGATTATGAGCTCAAGATTTCTATTGCATGATAGTTGATGAGGGTGCAGCCTGAGTCAACTATCACGCATGGAAATCTAGAGCAAGAAATCTAATTGTTTTAGTAGAAAACTAGTAGTCATTCAAACTTTATCTAAATCCTCTTCATAGACAGTTTGAAAACAACAAGAAGCGGCCATAATTTTGTTAACAAGGGCACACTGCCACGCTACTCACTATATATCACAGAATAGATAGTGAGTAGCGTAACCAGTCAGAGAATGACATTCATGATAGAACGCTAGTAGATTTATACTAATACACAGTAGGTAGTACTGTGAAGTCTCAGTGAAGAATATGCTAAAATTAAAAGGTGAAAGTTAAAAAAAATGAAATCAAATTATTAATTTTATTAATTGGCAGGGATGCTTGACCCATTTGTACTATAATTCTTTGTAATAATTATATATTAAATTTGTCACCAATTAAAATATAAAGTTCACATCTTGCTCTTTTTTTTGTCGTCTCTAGATGACATATTTGGTTCAAGTTCTCAGGAACAAACAGATACAAGGGGCCGTTCTACAACCTCAGTGAGTTTTGATCAAGTCGGAAATTAAGCAAAGTGTTAAATTGTTATGATTACCATTTTTGTCTTAAAGGAGCTCAGTCAAGGTATTTTGAGTTATTTTGGCCACATACACAACTACCTAAATGGTAGGAAACCTGAAAATAGCAGTTAAATAAGATAGAAAAACACCAAAGAGTTATATAATGATAAACCATAAAGGAACAATAATGGCTAAGGATGGAGAGGATTAACACGGATTATAAACGACGAATTTGAAAAATTAAGGCTAAACTTCTCAATATGCACAAACCGTGACTGAGCCTCTTTAATATACCTACCAGAACTCATCAACACGTGCATGTTGGTGAAGCTCAACAGCATCTCACTATACAAATCCAGGAGCACCTTTTCACTGTCAAAAATTTCCACACTTTTCACATACTTGAAGTCTTGGAAAGCTGTGGAGCTTTATGTTCTGAAGATTGTTTTTCCATCCTAGATACTACCTCCAACACCTAAGTTTTCAGCTCAAAATCAAGGATGTGCTTCATATTTGTTGGGTAGAACCCTCATTCCGTAGGCAAATTTCTCATGCCAATCATTCAGTGGCTATTCACATATGTTTGAAAATGAAAATGTTTCTTTTTTCATCACCCTGTAATTAGCAATATTTTTTATTTTCCCGTTGCCTTGTTACTAGTTATTTATTCTGCATTTATTGTCACATCATACATGTAATTAACTACAGTGGAACTTCCCTTAAGTGACCACCCAAAATGTTAAGCCTAGGTGGTCACTTATGGAAGTGGTTGCTTACAAGAGCTTAGACCATATTGGGTCAAAATTTTGCCTCATTAGCATTATGGGAACTGGAGAGACTTTGAAAACATGTTTATTTTTTTCCTTTATCTTTTTTCAAGGCTCCTGGCAAGAAAGCATCTTTAACTTCTGGGTATGTGAATTTATGATAAATATTGAAAGTACAATGTTGACCTAAACCTCCCTTAGGTGACACCTATTTAAGAATGAACTATAATGTCAAAGTGGTTACTTAGTGAAAACTGCATGTTGTCACCTCTGAGAAGTTTCAACTAAAGGAGCTATGTCACAGACTGTGTATCTTGAAACAATTTATCCCACAATAAGTGTAAATGTCTTGATCTGTTGATGTCACATTACAAGATGGTACTCCGAGTGCCATCTGTCATTTTCTCCACCCTGAAGGATACTCCCTCTTTGGCTCCACCCCTCATTACACTTGTTTATCAAATGGAACATTCAGTGTCCCTCTAGAGAGTCCTTCACCACCCTTTGAATTTTACTGTCAATCATTTGTTCATTTCTTTTGCCTCTTTAAATAAATGCACTTCAAGTATGCTTGTAGGTCAATCACTTCATAAAATTGTTAGCTAATTTCATTGGTATCCAAACAGCTACAGTCATGTAGTTTTGCTAACAGTGCGACTGTGTGTAATTTTTGTTGTCAGTGCTACAGATGAAGATTTCTATAGCAGTTTGGCACAGATGGCAGGAGATGGTTTTGATGATGATGATGATCCTGACGAGGTGATCATTTTAGTTCA